CCCCCCCCCCCCCCCCCCCACCAATGTATACATATACACATGACCAGGCATCATATCTACATTTACTTGTGCTTTCGACAATATGCCTATTTAATGAGAACAAACTCTGCTAATCCTAACTTTAGACTGGCCAGAAGAATTTAGATAAAAATTCTGACCTAAATATTAGAATCCAGTTTCAGTGTATTTTCTACCCTACAAAGTATATTTTCTACTAAAGCACACATTATGTACTTAATACTAAATTAAACCATGTATAAAATACCGAGTATATACTAGTTTATACAGTGTACGCCAAACTTGCTGTGGACGTAATGTTGCTACAGGGTCGTACTGTAGGAAGCTCTTTTTATTGGGGGCTGAAAACGAGGGCAAAGACCCGAGGAAATTTTTAAATATAGAGTCTCTGAAATGCCATTTCCTGGACTTTGGGAAAGATTTGACAAAATTTTGATGGTCAGAAAACAGCGTTTTAGTATGTCGAAATTTGCAATTTGTTTACAAATGAGTAGTACTAAATGGGCAAAGGCGTATTTAATTAACTATATATTGGATAAGTTACAAGAAAGTATGGGTAATATCTTCATTATTTGCAGTTTGTCATGGATAATGTAGTACGGCCCTGTACTACAGTGCTTACTCGTTATCGTGAGTGTCTGTTTTATTAAAATGTACATCAGGGAAACATGACAATATTTATGGCAAGTTCATGGCAAAAGTTATAAGATAGATGTTCGATTGTATTTCATATTAGCTGCATGCATTGCATTTTGGGTATTTGCGCATTGCATTTTCGATCTATCAGTGTTGATTAAAATTGAGAATTTTGCTAGGTACATGAATTAAATTTGCTGCCTTGCTCGCTCTCTGCTGTAGCAATAATCGTTACGTGTCAAATTTCCCCCCACTATAATAAAATTTTTTTTTTTTTTATTTTTTTATTTTTTTTTTATTAGCTTCGCCAACTAGGGCAGGGTCACCACAACAGCATATGCCAATTACTGTGGGCCCTTTTTTTTTTACCTAACCCACCCTGTCAACTTTTCCCTGTGGGAGGAAACCGGAGTACCCAGGGAAAACCCACGGCGTTCGGCAGAGCGTTGACTTTTACTCTTTTCACATGGGGACTGGGTTCGAGTCGCACTGAGAAGGTACTTAGTGAGATTCGAACCTGCAGCCTCAGAGGTGAAAGGCAACTGGACCTCCCCTTCTGAACTAATATTTTTACGTGCCCGCCCACCTTTTTCGGTCAAAAATACCTCATGACCCACCCCCTTTTTTTGCCAGCCCACCCCCAGTCATAAATAATGAATGGTCCCTAACATAAGCATGGTCAAAAAAATTTTCCGGACTATCATAAACATACCCAAAAAAATTTTTCAGGACTAACATAAGCAGGGTCTTAGCTAGGATTTGCAACTTGGGTGTCCAAATTTGAAATTTCGTTTATGACACCCAATTTTTGCCGTATGGAACCATGGCACCACTTCATGCACCAGTAATTCAATGTGATTATTCCCGAATACTGGGAGTAATCGATGACCGCACTTGAGCATCCCCCAAAAACTATAATAATATATTCAATTATTCAGACTATGTCACTACTGACTACAGTAGTACATGCGATTCTGCATGACGTTCCAAAACAAACGTACGTATGTGTCGAAACACTTAAAACCAGGCTTGCTGGTTGGTCGAGACAGTACATTATGAATTTCCGTCTAGTGAGTAAACTAATATATTCTAATCGTCAAGACTATAATTTGAATTATGTCTGCCATGAAAAAAACAAGAGTGCGTAAACACAAATGAATTGAATTTTTAATTACCAGTATTAACAACAATAGGATAATTTCTATACTGTAGTATCATTTTTTGTTGGGACATCCACACATAACTAATTAATGTCAATTCGTCAACCGAAGACTGGCCTCATAATAATTTGTTTACACAAATCTAAAGTACGTGGCGCATAATTAGGTAAGCCTGAGCAACTTGAAGTGTCCTTTCACAATGCAATTATATTTACAGAAAGGGGAGTTAGCTCTCTTTAACTTTGGGTTATTAGATTGGGCGCATGTTTGTACCAGGAATAATAGTACAGACTGGCGTTTAAAATGCATGGTTAATTCACTCAGTAAAGCTAGGGAACGGAAAGTATAAGGATAGCGAATCTGTCTTCTATTTCCTCTCCTCGTTTGCGAGTAAACTGTTGGGCATACATCACGTACAATCTGTAGAAATGATTCGACACTTTCCCCCGTTAAATTCCAAAACAGAAATTGCTCTCTTTCATTGAAAAAGTCGCGACCATTGCATGAACGCCGAACCGAACACACAAGATTGGGAAACAATACTCCTTCCATACGTGCCCTTGGGATGTTTGTTTGGGGGCCGCGGGCATGCTGTTATCAGGAATAATAATTTGCATAAACTTTCAAAGTTTTCAAGTAATAACTCGCGGTTAACAGTGCATGGTTTATTTCGTTATTTAACCTGCTATATCTTTTTAATGCCTCTACAGCACAAGTATATGCACGGAGAATAAAATGTTACACAAAATTGCTAAACACTGCAAAGCGGTTGCAATCACATGTAAATCGTCTACCATGGCTACGGTTGAAATGATTTAAAAAAACACGTGTATTTGCATAAATAGTCGAGTAAATATGTACAATACCAATCTAAAATGTCGTGTTTTGTGATCAGTGTTTATGCCTCGTTCTTTAGAAAGATAAGTAAGATAATTTCTATAGTTCATTGTCTTTTATTGTTATGATCAACCAATCACAAATCCATGTTCATATAGGTTGGTGGCGACCCAATGTACATTATTAACATAACTGAATATTCGTTCGCTAACGTCGAGTTGTGCATGTTAACTATATCGACTAATGTTTACGAATACGTAAGTTAACCAGACACAGTACTATAATGCGGTGCCCGCCTACAAATAAAACTTTCGGCGTTTCCGCCTACATGCACAAGTAAAGTTATATTTAGCACGCTATACATTCTCCTGTCGGCCGCCAGTTGGTCTGTACGTTAGGATTAAAACTGCGTTTTAAAGCCTTCAAAATAAAATATTTTGGGCTCTAAATACTATCAAAATGAGGAGAAAAGTAAGACGAATCCACTGGCATACGGCCGAAAACGAGAAAACCAACAATTCCGAAGTTATCAAGGATCAAACGGACTGCATTTTTAATTAGTTTAATAATTTTGAGCGATTTGTAAACAATACAATTTCGTTTATTAAAACTGCACATTAAAACCTTCAAAATATAATATTTTGGGCTCAAACTACAAACAAAATAAAGAGAAAAGTGAGACAAATCGACTGGTATACGGACGAAAAAGAGAAAACCAACAATACGAAAGTTATCAAGGTCAAATGCATTGCATTTTTAATTAGTTTAATAATTTTGAGCGATTTGTGAACAATACAATTTCGCTTGTCTTTCAAAGGCCATAAATCGCTAGAATACTGTAGTTTAGTAATACATTTGATATCTGTGAGTATAATTTCTTACACTGAATCGAACGGTGGTATTGTTGTCCTTATTGGGCGCATAAAACCAGAGACAAGTCGCAGCAAAAAGTCAATCGTGAAAGTTCGATCGAGATTAATTCGAAAGAAAACTTTCCTCGAAAAAAGGAATTCGGAAAACGTGAAGGATTATTTTGAGCGGCTTTTGTCTTTCAAAGGCTACAAATAGGTAGAAGTCAATTTTGAAATCAATTTTCCATCCGTAAACACAACTTTTCACGCTGATTCAAATAGTGGTATTTTTGTCCTTGTTTTACGCATAAAACCAGAGATAAAACTGAGCAAACAGTCGATCATCATGACAGTACACGATTAATTAATAAATTCATAAATTCCGAGCGCGTGCAAGGAATTTTTTGTAGGCGATTAAGGAAACGTATTGATGCGAACAAACTAACAAACGGACAAACTAGCAAACTAACAAACTA